CGTTCTCGAGTAAGTAACTTACCCGGAAGGAACTTTTCACGGGCCTATACGCAAGTACCACGCTTACCCGGGGGCTGGATTTGAGCGCATCAGCACCTGCTTGGGCGGAGAACATTCCCCTAAAACTTCAGCTTTCTAGCATCTCAGTTATATTTGTTTGCGTTTTTCGCATTGCATTGCTGCAAAAAACGCATAAAAATGGGAAGTTTGTCAGGCATAATTCTCCGAGTTATACATTTTTGGGTAATCCTTCAGTTTCTTTCCAAGTTTTTTTCACGCACGGAATAATGAAAGTTTTGGCGGGGAATTTTTTAACCCAGGAACCAGAAAAGCGATGAAATTTTTTCAGAAGAATGTTCTCTGTGCCCCTTCTCCAGCTTCAATTCATCTTGTGCCGCAAGATTTTTCCACTCTTCTTTATTTATGCCGATAACATAATTCGTTAGCATGACAGATCAAAGTTAATACAAAATCTCGCTAGTCGTTTTTTATCAGTTCCAGAATTCCATTGACCATTTTTGGATCCTTTGAAAATACGGGAAGAATAAGGTTAATTCAGAGCTTTTTCGGATAATTCCGCAGTGAAAATCAATGGTTCTGTAGTTTTTATCGAAATAGTATCACTGGTAATTTCATTTGATGTACTGATCAGTTTTCCATATGCAAGCTCAGTGTTATCTGAAAATAAGCGAGCTTCTTTTTTTAGATATATGTCATTTAAGAAGATTAAAAAGATTAAGAAGATATTAAGATATCCTTATAAGAAGGTTTGGTTTAATCCAAATTTGAGGGCACAAGCCACAAGAGTAGGGTTTCAAAAAAATTGGAAAAATTTTTAGCTGCATAGTTTGGAGGATCAGACTATCAATTAAAAAAGGATTAAGAAAATATTAAGATATTCTTATAAGATTTGGTTTAATAACCCAAATTTGAGGGCGCAAGCCACAAGAGTAGAGTTTCAGAACAATTGCAAAAGTTTTTAGCTGCATAGTTTGGAGGACCAAACTATGAATTAACAGCCGTCGCAACTATTTTAAATATAAAATTGCTTATTTTTGAAACTTTTTCTAAGTTGCATTTTCATCGTAACGCAGCATCAAGGTATCTTTACAGCAGACGGCTGTCTGTCCATGATTCCTCTGACCATAGCTGGTTTTCATCATGTTGCTGGCGATCCTGATGCCCATTCTTTTGTTTTTTTGCCTTTTCCGTCTCGAAAAATTTCTCGTTTTTTCTATACTCATAATATTTTGGCTTGGCTGATCGATCTTCATTGGCTGATATCTCAGGATCAAAGGGCTCAGGATATGTCCAGGCAACTTATAACGTCTTATCTCATTTTTGCCTCCTTTCTTCATTTTTTCCTGCTTTCTGTATTCAATAAGTCTTTGACAGTTCGGCATCCAAGGTCTACCTGGATGCTACAATCGGCTTATAGATAAGGACCTCGCCGATATCTTTCGATATCGATGTGGTACCATGGCCCAGGTCTGAGATGTTCGTATTTAAAGGATTTCCACTAGAAAAGTTTTTGCATTTGAATCAATGTAATTACCCAAATTCCACTGCAGACCAGTGGATGTTACGACCGTTTTCCGTTGTACAAATGGAACTACACCGCATTTTCCAGTGAGCAAATGTCGACCGCCCGTGAGATCCACCTCCGTTGATCCCTGAAATTTTGAGCTTCAATCGGAATAAGGTTTTATTGAACCATCACGAAACAGATAGGAAGTTTGTAAGTACCGGAACAATCAGTGTGAATATCCCATGTTACAAGGGATATTCTTCAAATTCGTAACAGAAT